CTGGGGGCGGTACCTGGAGGACTCACAGGACGTTTACGAAGAGCTTGAGAGAGAGATGAAGAGGTCTCTAATGACTCTAGCGGATGATGCGTGCCAGCTCCTGCAGGATGACAGGTCAGAAGAGCACGACTGGTCAACATAGTTTTTTTTTTGTTTGTTTGTTTTTGTTTTTACCGTAGATCTGTTTGAGTTGTGTCCAGGATGCGTAATCTGACATTCCCAAGGGACAGGGATGACAACTTTATAGTGGTTTCTATAAAACATCCAATAAAAGCCATATGTTTAATATTTTTGTTTAAGATACAAAGAAGACCCCTGGCTTTGGGATCTTGAATGGGATGTGCAGGAGTTCAAGCAGAAGAAAGTAGCAACCAGCAAGAAGAAACACTCAAAAAAAGCAGCTGAAATCCAGGTTGCTACTCCTCTTCCAGACTGGGAAGAAGGTAAAAGTCCAGATCCTGGGCCACATCTATAGAGCAAGTGTTGTCCTTATTTATTTTTTAAGATGGCTGTTTTTAGTTTAAATAGTATAACAAAAATGCAGAACGGTGTAAAATTACAAATGAGGGATGAATTTGAGTTGTGGTGGCTTTAGATCCAGGTCCTCCAACTGAAGAGGAGATGGCGGGTCCCAGCAGGCTGGCTCTGGAGCAACTGAAGGGAACAGTGAATCAACTTCCCAAGAGAAGGCAACATCTGCCTGGGCATCCAGGGTAAGAGCGCTCCCAAGCACTGCAGAGCCATTCAGTATTTATCATCTTTCAATTCCCACTTGCTGCCGACAGTGCAAGTCAGTCCTTCTCCTCCTCTACTGTCACCAGGTGGTATCGTAAGCTGTGTGAAAAGATGTCTGAGAAGGACAGCTGGTCACCTGGAGCCAGCCTGATCAGTCTGCAGATGAGAGTGACTCCTAAGTTGATGGGCCTGACGTGGGATGGTTTCCCCTTGCATTACATAGAGAAATATGGGTGGGGCTATCTGGTACCTGGACGCAAAGATAACTTAGGTTCTCAAGAGGAAAACACAGGTCCTGTGTGCCCACACAGGTACAGTATGTGATACCTGCTCATTATGACATGATGTGGACGTGTGCATTAAAGCTCTGTTGTGATCCACAGGGCTATTGAGAGTGTTTACAGACAATACTGTGGGCAGAATAGCAAAGAGCAGCCTGAATACCTGGACTCCAACCTCTCAGATGACCTCATGTTGACAAACAGCACAGTATGGGCAAAGGTGAATACACTCATAAATTGTTACAGATTGGTTCAAAAAGCAGCATAACTTTTCCATGGTGCATCTACCAAAGTGTATTCTTACTTTTCTAAAGAAATGTGCTAAAGTGTAAATATCCTCTGAAATATGCATTGCCTGGGCCTGGGGTTGGTGTGTGCAAATAGTTTTATTTTAGTTAGCACTACTTTTGATCATTGATCAGATCCATGGGCTAATATCTGTTACTTAACCTCATCTCAAGGTAGAGGAGCTAAGTTCCATGGAAAGTCTGACAGAGGAAAATGGAATCCAAATGTTACAAAATGGGGTGAGTGGTCAGTAGTTTTTATTCTATTGTAGCTTTATTTCATTTTGGTGTATGACTCTGTATTCTGTATCAAACAGTCTCAAGATTCACCTTCTGTCCCAAAGGAGAGTCACTGCCATTATCATCATGGAAATGGGCCCTACAATGATGTGGATATCCCAGGATGCTGGTTTTTCAAATTACCTCATAAGGTGAAGTGAAGTTTCACTGTTTATCTAGGGTCCCCTGAATAAATATCACTGGCACAGTGTTGCTCCCATGAGTTACTATCATCATCTAACAGAATATGTGTGTTTCAGGATGGTAATCACAACAATGTTGGCAGTCCTTTTTCAAAGGACTTCCTGTCCAAAATGGAGGATGGTACTCTTAGAGCGGGACAGGGTGGAACCAACGCAACACGAGCTCTGGAGATCAACAAAATGATGTCTTTCTGGAGGAATGCCCATAAACGTATAAGGTACGCATCCGTTTCCGTCATCAGGTTATTCATGTTCTTGGGTGTTCACAGTCACTTTGGTTAGATAAAGATGGTGCGTGCACTATTGTTATTGTGTCCCCTGATAGTTCTCAGACTGTGCTTTGGCTTCGCAAGCGAGAGCTTCCTCATTCTGTCATCAGGTTTGTTTAGCATATACACCAAGTAGCTATTCTGTATTCACTGATCTGCCCTATAGTGGGTGGAAGTCATTGCTGTATATAAGAATTTTTGTCTCCAAAAGGCACAAAGACTTTGATGAAGAGGGTCAGTATGGTGCCATATTACCTCAGGTCGTCACGGCTGGAACGGTGACACGTCGGGCTGTGGAGCCAACATGGCTGACTGCCAGTAATGCACAGGTAAAAGGCACAGTCAACAAAAGAAAAATGACATATCCCAAATTTGAGATTATCAATCAGTAGAGGAGTTCTATTTTTACGGACTGTATTTTGGGTTCCCAGCGGGATCGTGTAGGCAGTGAGCTGAAGGCCATGGTGCAGGTACCACCGGGGTATCACCTGGTGGGAGCAGACGTAGACTCTCAGGAGCTGTGGATTGCTGCTGTACTTGGAGAAGCTCACTTTGCTGGCATGCATGGTGAGAGTTGGCCATATCAGATCTTGTTTACTTAAATGCCTTATTTGTAAACTTGCAGAAAATAGTACATTTTAATCTGTTTTAGTCTGAACAAAATTTGATGTTAACAGTACTTATCTTATGTCTCTGAGTTTAGGATGCACAGCATTTGGCTGGATGACCCTTCAGGGAAAGAAGAGTCAGGGCACTGACCTGCACAGCCGCACTGCTGATGCAGTGGGTATCAGCAGAGAGCACGCCAAGGTGTTCAACTATGGACGCATCTATGGCGCAGGACAACCGTTTGCTGAGAGGCTGCTGATGCAGTTCAACCATCGCCTCAGTCAGACAGAAGCTGCCAGTAAGGCCAGGCAGATGTACGCTTTAACAAAGGGTACACGCAGGTACACGTTAAAGATGTTATTTTTAGTTAACAAGCACGGTTGTTTGTGCAGTGATAACAAAGTCAAGCTCTAGCACTGTATGTTGGTGTTTATATTTTAGGTATGTGCTGTCAGAGGAGGGTGAATGGCTGGTCAGTGAACTGGATATAGAGGTGGAGAGGGAGGAAAATGGAAGTGTCTCACTGCAGGAGTTGCGGAGGATCTCCAAACTGGTCTCAAAGAGGTGAGGGAGCAAGTAAAACTTCACATAAACATGGCTGCTAGGAGCAACAACGTACTCTTACATCCTCTCAGCTGCTCTGTCCATTGATTTCACTCTATCTCTTTCTGTTCCTTACACCTCTCAGTGCTCGGCGGAAAAAGTGGGATATCGTTGGCAAACGTTTGTGGACTGGAGGTACTGAGTCGGACATGTTCAATAAGTTGGAGAGTATCGCTTACTCAGCCCAGCCGGCCACTCCTGTTCTAGGCTGCAGGATTAGCAGAGCGCTGGAGCCCAAGACAGTAAAGGATGAGGTGAGAGAGCTCTGATCAGGGGGACAGACCAGTCAAGGACCAAAATTTGCTTCATTAGTAGATGGAGATTCACATTTTGACTGCCCATATCCCAGTGGAATCTTTATTTAGGAATCAGGGCCAGAACTGAGATGTAGTCACAAAAATAACAAAGCCTTTGCCCAACATCACCCCTCAGTCACTGTTCCCTATATAATGTACACTACGTAGTTCACTCTAACAGTAAATTGAGATTTCAGACACTTACTAGTCATCATTTTGGATCATACAAACAGCTGTAAAGCCGCTCACCAGAACCTTTCTCTCTGATAAAATGCAGAGCATTTCATTATGGGATTGTTAGCAGAAAGTAGTGTACATGGCATGTACACTAAATTCCATTGTGAAATTTTCGAGTGCACTATATAGTCGATATGCACTCAACATCTGGACACAATTACAACACATACAATGAGTGTTCAGACGCACCGGTTTGTCTAATTCAGTACAAATGCTGTCCAATATATTCAGCATGATTCCTAATGTTGGACTGGCTTTTTACACAGTAATTAATCACACTATATACAGATTATGATAGTGATTGCATGTACTCTATTTGTGTACTGTAGCACTTTTAGAAATACACATGATGTAAGGTGTGGTTACAGGAAAATTGCAGCTCTGACCCACAGAATCATTTCTTTCAGACAGCCCTTACATGTTCATGTTATTTTTCTTTTGTCAGTTCATCACCAGCAGAGTGAACTGGGTGGTCCAGAGCTCAGCAGTGGACTACCTACATTTAATGCTGGTGTCCATGAAGTGGCTCTTTGAGGAGTACAACATCGATGGCCGTTTCTGCATCAGCATCCACGATGAGGTGCGGTACCTCGTCCGCAGCGAAGACCGCTACCGAGCAGCACTGGCGCTTCAGATCGCAAACCTGCTTACGAGGTCTGTCTGCAGCTCAGTATTGGTTCTTTTCTGTCAAACTGTCTAGTCCAGAATAACAGCTTTTCTGTTTGTGTGCTTCTGTCAATGGCAGGAGTATGTTTGCCCACGCGGTAGGCATGCAGGACCTTCCCCAGTCAGTAGCTTTCTTCAGTGCAGTTGATATTGACCAGTGTCTGAGGAAGGAGGTCACCATGGACTGTGTGACCCCCTCTAACCCCACAGGTTTGGAACGAAGATACAGCCTGCCCCCTGGTGAGTTCTGCATATTCTCACCAACCTTTATTAATTTATTTAATCTTCTATAGTATGAAAACAACAATAAAAAAAAAACAAAGACTATAAAAGTGTAAATAAACCGAATAAGCAAGAATATTTATTTTAAAACAGCAGTTGACAAACTGGTACTGAAAATCTTGTGTGTGAGAAACCAGAGATCCACCTCTTCCCTTAGTAGTGTAGCTGAGGAATGATAAAGTACGGTTATGTCAACTAGCATGAACTTAACAACTGTACTACTTTAAATAACTGATCCTTAGCAGTGGCCTGTATCTTAACAAAGCAATCCTCATGAAATTAGTCCTTCAAATCTACAAATAATGTAAAATTGAATTTTAGTATCAGTCAAAAGAAATCTATTTACTGTGTTGAGAAATATGTCACATAAAAAATAAATCTTTCTTCTGAATAAAGTGAACTACAGGAACACAAACAGCTTGTTCAACAACAAATCTTTCCGCAGGTGAAGCCTTGGACATCTACCAGGTCATTGACATCACTCAAGGCTCTCTGAACAAAGGAAAATAGCCCATTTTTGGACCAAGCTGTACAAACACACAGCTGTTCAGCAGTCAAGCAAATTCGAGATCAACTGAGCAGAGATTTGTGGAGATGTGCAACACGGGGAGCCCTCTGTCAGCTCACTGTTTCCTCTTCTTGTGTCTGGGTTCTTGAGTTTGTGTCTCCTGCGACTCTGTGGTCTGAAAGCAGTGGAAGAAGAAAGACACTAAGATCTCACCCACCAGAAGCCTGCTGGAACTGGAGTGTTAAATATTGCAGAGCAGATGGATTTAAAACATCACAAATGGGAAATACATCAGCAATGGCTAAATCTGGATAGTAAAAATCTGACTCGTGTAATTGAGGAAAGGGAGGAAGAGAAAAACAATTGCAGACTAAGGTAAACAAACTAAGATGCACTTACCTCCTGACTGTTGTCCTGCTCCTGCAAGGCTGCGTCCAGAGTAGCAGCATTGATGCGGAAATCCCTTGAGGTGCTCAGCTTCATGTACTGCATCAGATTAACCTGAACAAACAGATGTGAGCAAAACACGTGGCCGAACTGACAACACTGCGCTTACTGTGTTCAGGGACATTTGTTTTTCCTCAGTGTTCTGTTTTACAAGTCTCCTATTTTGAGAAACCTACCTCGTGCTTCAACTCACACATACCTTTGATTTCTTTGAGAGCGTGATTAGATATTTCTCATACTGTTCAATGCTGAAGATCAAGTTAGGGATGGCCTTTGTCTCACGCAGAAGTTTGGCCTACCAAAAGACCAAAACAAAACTGGATAAACAAATGCAATTCTGAGTGGACTCAATCAAAACGGAATTGAGGCTCAGAAGTTTTCCTCAAAGTGCGTCTGTACATTTCGCTTCATCTAACACATGAATGTACGATACTGTTATAATCACATTAACAATGAAATTACACAACTATGTGTCCTTACAGAAGCAGTGGTGTTCACTTCATTCCTTTTCTTCTTCTTCTTTTCATCTGCACCTCCACCACTAAATTCTCCACTCTGAGAAATCATTGTTTGTACACATCAACAGGATCAAGTTGCTTGTGTCAGATCCATTACCAAAAAAACTTGAACAGAACAGTCATAAGTAGATCATTACTTTTGTCTGAAAACCTGGAGCTCCATTAGCTTACATTATTGAACTAAGCTGTACCTGTGCATATGTGATGAAGGAGTAACACTGTGGTGTTAGGTGGGATCCAGAGAGCTTGACCTGCACATATTATTACACAAGAAACACCAGGTTAGTGCATCGAAAATACCGGAAGATTCAAACCAAGTGATGATACTGTACTTGAGACTCACAAGCTTTTCGAAGCGAGCTGGCAGTGCACTGTGCTCACTGGCACACACCTGTATGTACTAAAACAACACAGAGAGAATAATGTCACACTGGGGAAATGGCACAAACATTCACACTGAGGTCCCAGAACGGATGAATACGCACATATTTGACCAGGGTGGTGAGGATAGTGTATGTGCGGCTCAGTTCTCTCAGCAGCGTAATAATGCAGGTGCCAGGAAGCAGGGCCGTCTGGATCAGCTCGCTCAGTGCTGTCAAAAGAGTCCCAAGTTGCAGTGTCACAGCTTTCTCTATTGCATCCTGCCACCACAGAGCTTTTAGTACCACTCACTGATAGCAATGCATTCTTTCACAATTATCACCAATCATCCAACTGTGCATCAGTGTAAAAGACTTTCTACCTGAGCCAGATTTGCCTGAGGTCATCTGACTTTTCTTTCTGGCAATCAGCCAGTCCACTTCATCAAGCACTCTGTCAACCTGAGACAGCACCAACAGCTGGGGGAAGAAATTCAAATGAAAGATGGTGAGCACACTGACTGAGCAGTACCTGTGTGGCAGCAAATCAGGCCTTAGAAAACTGGTGCTCACTGCTGCTGTTGTCGCAGTCTTCATGTTGACAATGGCGAAGTGAGACTGTTTTTCCACTTCCACATCCTGGTCATGGAGAATGAAAAGCAAAATAAAATGAATTACCCCAGTTCAAAAAGTGTCATGATAGTGCTGGCTCAATTATTAGAAGATGATCATATTTACTGTCATGTATGAATTATTAGTACTGTTAACTAATTGCGTGTACCTGGTCAGTATCCCCCAGCTGACTGTGGATGTCTTGGCAGAGCTCCAGCAACAAACTTACAGGACTCTTATAGAGAACATGTAGGTTAAAGAGAAGAGAGAGCAGTCCCTTGGAAAAGGCGGAATCCTCTGAAAAGAGAAAGAAACACACCTGAGAACTGACCTCACTGCACCTAATGTGGATACAAAATAAACTGTCACTCACCCAAACTGGTCTCTTTGCAGATTTTCACAGTCCACGTGATCATCTGAACAAACTGTAGATGTAGTCCTGCATTAGAACAAGTACTACTCTCTCTTCTGTGAAGTACACATAGGAGTACACCTACCTGTGGGGAGGAGGGCTTTAGCTGCAGCGAGAGCACACTCAAGATGTTGACCAGCAGCTGGGCCTCTTTGCTGTTGAAGTCCTCCTCACCTCCACTTAACTGAGTAAATAGCGCCCTCTGTTGACAGATAAAGAAAACTGAATGTTAGTGGTGATACTCGGGCTGGAATTATCCACTGCTCATGACATTTAAAATACTGTTGTCTGAAAAAGTCAAACCTGCCTTTCTCCCATATTTTAAGTGGTTTTTACTATAGAAGTCTGGGAGATAATTTTAGCCTAACACATCCTATCTGTATTTTGTGTTTTCAGTCGATGGGTAGGAAACAAATACACCAAAGAAAACTGCTGTACAAGCGCACCTGAAACTGTCGGATGTAAAAGAAATTCATCTCTGTAGCACTTCTGTCATCTGGCTCAGCATCATCCTCTGTGATGTCTACAAGAAAGACGACATGCGACTTCAGGTACGTACTGTAATTCGTGTGTAAAACCTAAAATTTTGTACTTTTACATAAAACTGTCACGTCTAACCCATGTTGGAGAGGAGCTGGGCCATCTTGTCTGGGTAGCGCTGCTGGCAGGTTGTGAAGATCCTGAGTAGACCTTCTAGACACAGCAGAGACAGGCTGGAGCGCTTCTCCTTCTTCCCTGCATCCTCTACTATACGGGGGACATTGGTGTATCGCCACATCAGTACACTGGCAAGATAATTAGATGAAGACAGGTCACTCATTGGTCCAGCAGTAGCACTTAGAACACAACCATGAGCACAGTTCAATTAAAATGCTGGCATTTAGGCCAAGGCGGGATTCCAACCTTGTCATGTCACAGAGGAAGCGGAAAGTTCTATCTATGTTTTGTCCATCTGGGCCGTCAGTGTGTCCAGTTTCCTCCAGCTGCTGAATCTTCTGTACAGCTACACTTACTGCATAACGCACAAATTCACCACTTGAAAGCAGCACTGAGAGAGCCTCCTCTCTGCTCTGAGAGCTGTCCCTGAAAACAAACATTTGTAGTAGTTGTAACTGACAAATGCAATACATAATATGATAAATGTATTTGTGTACTGGCTACAGATTATTATAACTGAAATAAACATAAAATCCAATGTTGAAACAGGTAAAAGACTCAAATGAATGCATTCCCAGATACAGTATTTGTTCATTTCATAAAATGTGATCTTTATATCTGGGTAAATGTAAAACTAGTCACAGAGAGAACTTACCTAAAGAGCGCAGTGAGGAGAGTGGATATGAAGCCCAGAGAGAGTAAACTGCGGGGGGTTTTGTGTGGGGGCAGTCGACCCTTTCCAGATTTCTCCCTCAGGATCTCAGACAGCTTGTGGTAGTGGTTAAACAGTTCCAAGAGCTCTTCAAAGCGGCTTTTACTGCAACACACACACACACAAGTATAAATAAAAATATCATCACTTTTCACAACACAGTGCACTATACAAGAGAGATGCCGTTACCTGTAGTTGGCTTTCATGAAGTTGTACTCCATGAGGACCTCATATACTCCTATCACCAGCACAGCGAAGATATTATTCCTTACCCCAACGCTGGATCCCACTGAGAACTCTGCAGACTTGTCCTGACCAACACACAAACAGTATATGGCTTATGATGGTGCATATCACATAATCAGTAAAACCAGCAACGTAATAATGCTGTTCAGAGGAAAGCTTCTCCTGCTTCCTTTGAATGAGCCAAACTACATCATGTAGCTCAATGTGCAAGCTCCTGTCTTGAATGCATACCAGTTCAAAGTCCTCCAGTTCACTCTTGATTATGCGTCTTGTCATGCTCTCTAGAATTGTCTGTAGTTCAGACTGGTATCCCTCCTCCTCTTCCTCGTCGTCACTGTTGTCAGCGTTGCAGTTGGCTGATCGGCGCATGTTCTGCAGCCACAGCAGGCAATGTACAGTATAGCTCAACAGATGGCCCTGAGATGGAACAAACACTATTAAACACTATTGATAGCAGACAATAGCGCAGCAAAAAAACACAGCGGCAAAATTTCTACAGTGCAGACAAGGGGACAACAGCAAAATTTCTACAGTGCAGACAAGGGGTACCAGTGGCTCCTGGAGGTAGACTTGGTCTCCATGAGCTGTGATGCACGGCTCCAGCTTCACAGGGGGAAGGAGGTCTGGATCAGGCTCATAGTACCGCCTCAGCTAAGGATTCAAACACACAAAATACAGCTCCCCATGCATACAGAAAACATGACAAATATCGATTGTACTACTGAACATGCATACCTGTGAGAAGAGGGTCTGCATGATGGAGCTTGCAAGTTGGGAGTTACGACGGAGGACATCATAGAAGCCCTGAAACAGGCAAGAACTTATTGTCTCATATGTCCTTACACACCTCATATGACATTAAGAATTACAGCTGCATAGATTAATAACTAAAGAATCATACTAAAAGGGTTTTTAGGGCCTCTCTGCATTTGAAAGATATGTATAAAAGATGCCATAGACATAACTGTATAGAAGAGTACTCTCTAACCTCATAAAGCATAAGGCGCACATCAGCCTGCTGGCCTAGGCAACGGCGCAGGCTGCTGAGGATCTCCAAACAGAATGCTTCATTGGCAGCAGAATTATAACGAGAATGAACGTCCACTTGGATCTATTCAGAGGTTTAGACCAACTGTTATTATACACCCACATCCATCTATGGAAAAAACAGTTACACAGTCCAACTGTACCTGGCTGGAGGAGATTGTCTGGCTACACTGGCTTGAGGCCAAGCTGCCCAACACTTTGAAGTTCTTCAGCAGCAACAAGAAGCCAGTCACCGCAGACTTCCTGCCATCCAGTTGGCTAGTTGAAGTGTCAGTGAGCGAGGAGAACAGCACAAGAAATGATCACTATTTCAGGTACGTAGCTGCCTTTCTTTTCAATTACTGTTAAGCTTTCAAATGCATCAACTAAAGCTCGAGCCATTAACTTTACTAATAAGGTTTATCAGAGTAAGAAAAAAGTATTACACACCTGGAAAACATGGCCTTGCGGAGAACTAGAATCAAAGCATCTTTCAAGGACATGCTGACCTTGAGCAGGGGCTGGAAATGAAACACAGAAATACATAAAGAAACAGAAACCTCTATAATCTGTGTGTGTGTATGTTTGTTTTAGGTACCTGGACAGCTTTTAGTAGACCCTGAACAGTGGCCAAGGGCAAGTATGACAGGTGGTCAAATGTCTCTGTCACTTTGGAGGATGACTCCAGGAGGATCATAGGAGCAGAAATCACAATGTCGGAGAAAAGATCTGATGACACAGAAGTAAAATAGAAAAAAAATGAGTAAAAAATCTAAACTGACCAAACAAATTAGACACTGGTGAAGATCTGAAAGCTGGGACCTATAGCTAAAGGCTGTGTTACCTAAGTAATGACTGACAGGTGAGGCCGTCTTTGTGACCAGGCGATTCAAGACTTGCTCCAGTATCTCACCTCTGATAGGCTCATGCATCTGCCATAGAACACAGAGTGGATTAAGAAGCAAAGCGACATCCTCATTAACTCTATGACTGTTTTTTTTTTTCACACTAATGGTAGATGGTACTTCCAAACATTAGCAACAGCACCATATAGTTACATTGATTTGGCTGCTCTCTTCCAAATTAAGAAGTTAAAATCAATAGCAATAATTATACTTGTGATATTTTAAGATAGCGACATACTGTATGTGTCAAAACATGTTTTAGAACCTTTTTGACTGTCTCTCTCAAATATTGGGTCACTTTAATAATTCGGTACCAAGCTAACTAGCTGAGCTATCTACAACAACAGAACCCAGAATTAGTTTGCAAGGCTGTATAAGTCATAAAAATACTAATTGATGATAAAAACCTATTTCCTACAGAAAATAATGGATCTTAACCAACTGTTTGGAACTATTAGAAGCACCATGAGTAATGTGACATGCTGCCATTTTTGACCCCTCAATTCTGCAACTCTTCTGTCTTCTGCTCTTTGTTTGGGTGAGGACAGGATTTAGGGTTGCTTTGAGACAAGGGTATGCTGTTGCTTATTGTGGGCCTCTGAAGATTTACGATGGCATGGCCTGACACCCCCTCTTTGGAGCCAAATAATGGGTAAACATCATGTAACTCATATACTTGACTTCCATATGAATGCTCTCCCATTCTTTGGAATATTTAATTGTTTATTATTGGCTACATATATATATATATACACATGTAGTTGACATCAGTTCTTTAGACTCTATAAAAATGTTAAACCAACAAATAAAAACATATAAATGTTACCTTAAAACCCTGGAGAAGCACCTGACCTCCCAGCTTACATGCCTGCTGAGTGGGGGTCCGTGCTATGTTAGCAGACCCCTCTGTGGTTTTGCCAAATGGTCCAGGTTTGGGTCCAAATGTGTCCATAAGAAAAAAGCCCAGTTGAACTAACCCCTGGGTGACATGATCCCAACCAAACACACTACACAGGTGAAAGAGCAGAACCCATATGAGAGAAATAAATACAAATAATGTGTTAATGTTAAAGGCAATACATCAGGTAAAACTATTTATTTTATTTTATTGTGAAAGACGTACTGTATGGTTTTTTTTTTATTATTATGCAGAAACCAGACTTTCTTATGATGTAAGTATACAGTATGCCTAGTTGTGAAGATCTCAAACACATAAATATGTTGATGCTTGGACCTGTTCTTGATGGTGTCCAGTATCATATGAGCCACACTGCAGTGGCCAGGCAGGAGGTCCTGCAGGAACCTTGAGCCCTGCTGCAGCTGCTCATCTTTGAAGCTCTTGATGACTGCTCCCTTTAGAATGTCAAACACCTACCCAACCAGGGAATGGTAGAGAAACATTAGTGAGCAGAAGAGATAATATGAATTAATAGGTACAATACTGATTTCTCACCTGTTCTTCATAACGCTGGATACGTGTCACTGAGAGCAGTAGTGCAACACTAAAAGGACAAAGGTCCCCATATGACGTCTGCAGTAAAGAAATTCAAGATTTATGGCATACTCTACATTAGAAATGCAGCAAATACTGTCAAAAGCACATGGAGAAGTTATACATTACCTTAAAGCTTTTAAGGAATTCTCTCCCAAGTTCATGGTCAAGTCTTATAGAAAAGACCATGTGAAGGATGGCTGTACCCTCCACATGCCTCAACCGGTCCTGCGGAATAGACTGAACCTCTAGATCCAGACTGCTGATGGGGGAGACGGTTAAAAATAACAATCAGAAAATGGAAAGTAGGCAGTAAGATTTAAAGTGAACTGAGTATATGTCATTTTCAGTGAATGAATCACTCACTCTGCATCTTTCTGCTCTTCTTTCTGGCGAACATCTTGTTTCTTAAAGTAATTGATGACTCCATCAAGGACCTGTTTCTTACAACCCTAACAGACACAGTACAGGCATTTATATATTTAAAAGAAAGAGGAATACAAAATTACCTGTAGCTGAAAATCAGCATATTGTTCCACTCACAGACCTTTGCAGACAAAAGCAGCAGCTGGTAAACCAGAGGTGGAATCTCCTGCAGATCCAGTTTGGTGAACATCCTCAGTACTTTCTCCACCAGGAACTGCAGCTCCTCCGATGACAGGGGCACATCCCTAAAACGAGGCAGACACAAAATAAACTGCTGACTAATTCACAGCAATGGATTGACAGCAGCTGTAACACTAACTCTGAAACATTGTAAAATCAATACAAAAACAAGAAAATTCAAGAGCACTTAAGTAACCTGTTATTATTCTGAAGGAAACTGAACAATGCTTTAGAATGTAATGGCCTGATAATCACAGGTGTTACCTGAACATGGTTGTCAGGTGAATAACACACTGTGGGTCCCACCTGTATGAAAAAAATAATACAAACATCCTGTGATTCCTATTACTAATTGTCAGTGATCAATAAATTGTTTGGGTTTAAACAGGCAGCAAAACATTACCAAAAACTACCTAAAACCTCCATGCACATAGTGTACACATATACTTTAAAATGTCCTCACCTGCTGGAGCAAAGGCTGTTGATCAGCTGCTTCTTGTATTCCTCACCACTGAGTTCCCCTAAAGTTACAAAAAACCACAAGAACAGAGATTAATCATCTCTGAAGATGTTCACCTTGTAGACAACAACACCAGGTAAGACACTGATATATTTGTATAATTTTACATAACAAAATACTATGGTTAGTAATTTGCACTTACCTTTGCCATAAGACAAGGCATCACAGGCTGCAAGGGCAGTAAGCACTGTAGGAAATAACTCCAGGGATTTCCCACTGCTCATTTTCCCCATCTTAATGGCTTCAACAAAAAGAGATGCCAGTTGTGCAAGAGAGGGCCCAGACAGCGTACGTGTCTGTGTGTAACATTTAAGAGGCAAAAATGGGAGTTTTGCATTATAAGTATTGCATTACCCATGCACCCACGTCTCACTTCCACATATTCAAATAGTATTAGGCATTGCAGAGAACTCAAAACAGCCTTTAGCACTAACAGGCTGTCATATAATTTCTCATTCAAAGCCTATTACATTTGGAGGCCTGTACAACCACTGCCCTGGCAGAAACAAGAAAATGCATTACTTCATGCGCATCTCATTACTTGTGGCTGCCCTCTGACTGAGCAGCCGTCATTATTAATAAAAGCCACTTAGCATGGTGTTATGTATAAATAGATACTCTGGGAAAAATATTATATGTTACCTCCAGCATCAGCAGTCCAATGATATCAGCAGCCACCTCCGTTTGAAGGTCCCCAGACTCACACAGTGGGATGCAGTGTTGATACACAAGTAGTCTGCGGTTTGACCCTTCAGTACAACTGGGTGGAGAGCCTAAACAGCAGAGCACACACTTTATGATAGTGTACATAGTTTGTTTACTAATGGTTCTGAATGGAGATGCAACACCTATGTTGCTGTCTTGGGTTTTAAAACCACTGATATACTAACAGTAGGTGTATAAGAATGCGTACTTACCTTTAAATATGCCTTTAATCATAGCACCGACCTTCTTACCCTTCAGTGCACTATTGGTAATCACTGTGATTAGCTGGAAAGAATTAAAGCAAATAGGAGGAGTAACGTTAATTTATCCGACATCAGACGGGAAGCGAGTTCTCAATATAACAATTAGCTAGAAATGTGGTCAAATTAATGTTAGTTAACTTACCCGATCATTTGTAAAGGAGGACAGGTATTTCTGAAGTTCAGCGGTACTGTCTCCATCTGACAGTGAGATGATTTTCTCTATTTCAGCCGTCATGATAAACACATTATACATACAGAGCTGACTGGTGAATTTAAGGCTACAGTTCCCTTGAGAAAGCAGGGGACCGCAATCACAACAGACTTACTGTTACTGCAGCGAAATGTTAAATTTGATAACAATTTGACTCTTACAAAGTGCACAAATAAAGGTTTTACCCCCGCTTGCAATTCGTTTTAACTACATTGAACACTGGACATCCAACAGAACCTAGGAACAACGCAGATATGCTTTAGTGAATTTCGCGCCAGAAGACAGACACTTCCTGTTTTGCTTGGGGGTTGCCATGTTTGACTACAAATATCCCACAATCATAGTATTTGATCATTCCTGATATACTACACAGTATAATATGCACAACAGTATGATGCTTGTTTTAGTATACTGTATTGTCAAATTATTTATCTCCAATATTTATAGAATTGCTAGTAAAAATATAGCATTTAGTAGAACAACTTCAATGACTATCTTTGCTGGGTTGCCAAGTAGAATGCATTTGATTTTGAATCCAGACCATTGAAAATCACTGCTTTAAACTTGTATATACTACTTTGGATGGGGGGCTTCACTGCGTTTCACGGCGGAATAAACTGATAAAATATAAGCACGTAAATGTTAACCAAAAATCTAATTTAATTGTGAGTTATAAGAGGGGAACTCGCCAGCTTCTTTCTACGGTCTTTGCCAGACATCTGTCAACTCTCTGACAGTGTGTAATTGTAATTACTGTGATTCGTAAGCTAACATCAGGCGTAACCGTTTCTATGGGCCGTAATATTAACACAAACAAAAATATACACAAACAGGCACCGTTATTCCTTTAGATGTGATGTATATCAAACACAAACGTGATTGGGCCAGTGGCGCAATGGATAACGCGTCTGACTACGGATCAGAAGATTCTAGGTTCGACTCCTGGCTGGCTCGAAATTTTCTTCCTCCATTAATTATACGGACCGGTATTGCCCAATTTTTTGGTTTGCTATTCACCTGAACGTACTGCTGTTTACTGTGTTATGTTATTGCTTTTAATAACAAGTTTTAGCCTCAAACCACGTGGCTGTGGACAGTTAGTCTGTCTACCAGCAATGACATTCCAGCAAATTCCACCACAGAAGAATGCTGTTACCAAATTTAAGGAAATAATTCCATCATTATTTCTGCAGTGATTTAATTCACTCCCAAACAAGTCGATAATCTTGTCCATAGTGCTGCAGCCTCCCTGCGTATGACATTTGATACTGCTGACCCTCCGAAAAAGAAGGTATTGAAACAGAGGAGGCGAACCGCATGGTACAGCTATCAGCTCTGCTCCCTAAAGCAGGCATCAATATAATAAAAATATAATAATTCATTTACATATAACCATCTACCAGGATTAGTTTTATTTTTGATACCTCAAGTAGTTTGAATGCAAGACTTTTACAGTGACATAATCTTATCTTTATTTAAGCGTAGTATCCTTGGCCTATTGACACTTTATGAAAACCGGTATGGAAGCTAATTTACTGGTTGTGAGAGAAAACACATCCTTTTCAGACTTGTAATCTTGCTGTATGTCAAGCATAGGTCTTCTCACTAAACCGGCAGCTGAAACCCTGAATATGACGACGTTTTACGCTCTTTGCGTGCAGCAATGTGACGTAGGGGAAAATGTTTCTGCCGATGCTCGCAAGGACAGGAGGAGATCAACCTGACTGCAGCTGGTAGATATGGTGTAGTGATGTAATGTTGCCCATTTGGTGACTACAGATGGCTGTTTGTGCCAGACTCTGCGGAGTGGGTCAGTCCCGGAGGTGCCGAAGGCGACAGCGGAATAACCAGCAGGATCAGGGTAGCGATTCCGAGATGGACGAGGAAGAAGAGGAGCGGATCGTGGGCCAGAAGCAAGGCGACGTCCCCGGCGGAGGCCCGGAAAGCGGCGTCGCCACTGCAGGGCCGAGTGACGCTTGTGAATATGGCCGCGGTCATGTCAACAGAGGAGGCTTTCTGGATCGCACAAGCTCGGGACCTCCACATCCGCAGTCATTAACGGAATTACCACCGGAGCTATTAGTGGAAATATTCTCCTTGCTTCCCGGAACAGCACTACCAGCTGTTGCCCTTATCTGCAAGAAATTCAGACAAATCCTCAATACGGAAACCATCTGGAGAAGGCGGTGCGTGGAAGGTAAATATAGCCATTACTGGACATAGAGACAGTTCAGCGGTTTACGGCTAAAGGAAGCATCGAGTCACACATGCATGTCAGATTAGGGGGCGGCTGTGGCTCAGGAGGTAGAGTGGGTCGTTTCCTAACCGGAGGATTAGCGGTTCGATTCCCGGCTTGTCTAGTCAACATGTCGAGGTGTCGTTGAGCAAGACACTGAACCCGGTGTGTGAGTGCTTGGGAGTGCGAATGGCTGAATAGTGTGAAAGCGCTTTGAGTGTGCTGTAAAAGCATAGGAAGTCGCTATACAAGTAGACCATTTACCATTTGTTATAACACCCCTGCTCTCGACAGGTTATTTGTTAGGGTCGATCCTCCCCGTTCACATAAAAGCTATCGGTCCGTACGGGAACATCACAGAAATTAACCCAGTCGCTGCGTACTTAGGCACCGGTGTAAAAAAAAAAAAGAGCGCAAGGCTTTTCAGTTTTATTAGGCCCATGTCAGCCATTCTGTGGAGCTGATAAAAGCCAGGGCTGGAACCATCTTTTTAGGAGCCTGAAGCATTATTTTGATGACTACCCCCACCACCACGCCCCTACCACCTCATGTTGACTGCACTATAGCAGCTTTGAACACATTTATTTTAGTGTAAAATATAAATGTACACTTCCTGATTTCCTTCCCGTTCATGCTTTTAAATGTGTCAGGCAGTGCGGTTGAAACAATTAATCCGTTAGGTAATATGTGGAAAAATATATTTTTACTACTCTAGTGATTTTTGATAGTGATGGACAATAATACAGTATGTGATTGTATACTATATCATGATAGACAGTGCTGACATTATTCAGGTAAATGAAATGAGACACTGTTAATAGATAAAAAAAGATCTAACATTACCACAAAGCACCATGATATAAATGGTATTATACAATCTCAGATAGTGAACCATTTTATTTTACCTCTCAATATATTTATATTGTATTGCCAAGCCCTAGTTAAGGTAATTTGTCAAATAAAACTACAAAACATTCCAGCTTATTGTTGTACCCGGTACTTTTTACCATACTGACTAGTCGAGACAGTCCAAGTAACTACTAAACAGTGCTGATTTATTCAAAGGATCACAGGTAAAATTAACATTACACACTCAGGCATCTTGCACCTCCAACCTGCTCGCAGGCAGATGTAAGATGAAAGACCCTGAACCCACCAGGCCTATACATTATATCTCTTCGGTTGGGCTAGCCCCATACTACACAGAAACGTCAACTGAGACGTCTCTCTTACCAGCTCTGCAGCTGGTCATAGCAGTAGTCAAAACATGAAGCAAATCAATGTGTGAATGTGTGTGTCTGTTGGTTAAGTGGTGTGTAACTAAAAACATTCTCACAGACCTCTAGTAACATGTCGTGACTTAAACATAAGAACATATTATGGCTAAGGCTACAGTTATACACGTCGTAATAATAATATTAAACACCCTGTCTGCTGACAGTCATCAACTCTTCTCTCTAGTTATCCTTGACCAGATGTACCCTGTAGAAACTCATAAGCATGACTAAGCATTTAACAGTCTAACTAGACATCCTATCTCCACTAAACATTTCTAATACATAAAGCATCTATCTGACTAAAAAGACCTAACATTATAATAGTAGAGAGCTAAGCAATGTTGGGCTTTGAAAGGTTACACATCAGCTAGTTACACACCGCTCTTATGTGTGGTGTAGTACAGCAGTCAAATGCAATCAAATCAGTGAATGAAATGAAAGAAATTATCCTTTTTTTTTTTAAACCTTTAAAACATTTTGAAGACAACCTCTTATTTTCAGTGGTGCTAAGGTAGAAGAACACAGAGTAAAGACAGATTTCAGAAAAAAAGCAACAGAGTTAAAGAGGCTAATAAATTATTAAGGCGCACTCAGTAGGAAGGGAATAAGTAATAGCAGTAAATAGGTACTACTACTACTACTACTACTACTACTACTACTACCACTGCTACTACCAGTCAGACTGTACAACCATCAAAATCAAAATAGGTTTGTGATATCTTGGTGTAATGAAATCATCCATTTTTTAAAATCTCAAGTGCTACTCACAATATCTGTTCAGTACAGTTTAGAAAACATTATCTAAATAAGAACTAATCTTGTGTGAAAACATGAGCAGATCATTTCCAAGAGACTTTACATTTTTGGGGAATATGTGATGGCCACTAGGTTCTAAGCAGCAGCTTAATGTGTTTATGCCTCAGGCCGGCTACATGTTTAAATCTTGCTAATCACTGTGGATCTGTTGTGATTGGGTAATGGAAATGGAATAGTCCAAATGACATTACCCTTTTAACACACAGTGTGTAACATAGGGATCACATTATGAATTAGATAAATATGGAGATTATTCATTACAGTGTTTTAAAAATCTGACTGACCGTGTAACCATTTCCATCACCACTAACACTGATACCGATAGCTGGAATTTGATGTTAATCCATCTCCTTATGTGTTGTATCTCTGCAGAGTTTGGTATGAACGAGGATCTAAGGAAGATGGAAGCGGGCGGAGTATCTAGCCGGGATCTCTATGTTAAACGTGAGTTTGACTGCCTGTTAAACAGCTCTTATGTCACTCATCAATTGGACCAACAAAGTATATGGTTTATTCCTACTCCACTGTGCCATTCAGTGTTTGCACCCTCATATTTTTGTGTGAATGTGGGGTAGGTGTCCACACAAATCTTTGCAACATTCCTGGTAAATGCTTTTCTGATATAAATGTGGTTTCTTTTTCCCACTTAAATTTTGGCTGTCAATGGTACATCTATTTAAAATGTGTTTTTAAATGTATTCTCCCCATCTGTTCCTTATTTGTTAATGATGATGCGGAGATATAAAGCTTATTTTGAAATACCAGCTGCTGCACAACATACCAGACAATGCGGTGGCACCTGTTGGCTCTTTGAATAGATTATTTTGGCACATTGCTGCATTCGCTGGAGCGCAGCGTTGGACTGAGCCCTCCTTGGTGTGTGGGAGTTCTACACATACCTGTGTTGTGCCTGTCCAGGTGTCAACCCACGGGTGAAATCTGGGCGCTTTATGAAGCTCCTCCCGGACTACGAGCACATGGACTATAGAGACGTGTACACACACTGTATGTACATGGGATTCAGCGTGGATGGCTGCAGCATGAGGGGTTGTGTGTGTGTGTGTGTGTGTGTGTGTGGGGTGATGGTGGGGGGGACACTCAGTGATTTAGTGTGTAATCAAACTAAGAGTTACAGCAATTGTTATGCATACTGTGTGACCGGTAAATGTTTGCTTCCATGTTAAGTGTGAAATTGGAGGCTGGATAATTCAGTGTGCCGTGTCTGTTGTTTAGAAACTTGGCTGACAGGAATGCGATCAGTTTACACTTTGTTCATTTTGGATTTACACACCATAGACCCCACCCTGGCAGACATTAAACAAAGAGTTGTGGATTTTAACATCTCTTGTGTTTCTAACCATGCACAGTGTAGCTCGTAGTAAAGCATGGGGCTAGCACTGCAGAAACTTACTGGTATGGTGTGATGTTGTGCTTATATGTTGCAGTGCTTCATCCATACAGATATATCTTGGGTTTATGGCAGCCTGACATTGGCCCTTATGGTGGATTGCTCAACGTTGTGGTAAGTTGTGTTTCTCAACATTTGCATTAAGATGAGGAACAATGACTTCAAATTTACAGTTTGTTTTACAAAGAAACAAACTCAGATGCTCCTAATCTGTGATGCAGCAATATTAACAAAAATGTATGCAGTCAAGTTATTGAAAGTATTTTTTGTTCAGGTGGATGGGCTATTCATCATTGGTTGGATGTATCTTCCACCTCATGACCCCCGTGTGGAGGATCCTATGAGGAGACGACCACTCTTCCGTATCCACATGTGGGAGAGCAAAAAGGCCACTGTGGAGTGTATGTACGGCCACAAAGGTCCCCACAAAGGAGACATACAGGTGAGGGTGCACACAACACAAAAGCTCCTTTGTGCATCAAAGAACTGAGCAATGAAAAAAAAATGTAAGGGTATTTGTTGACACAGATTCTACTTTAATTTGAGATCAAATCAACATTTATTTATATAGCCCTTTAAAATGTCTTCTTGACCAAAGTACTTTACATAATTACAATAAAAATCTAGAGCTTGTAAAAGTAGGCCATCCTCTAATATGTGTCATATTCTGTTATTTTTAGACTGTGAAGATGGATGAATTTTCAACAAAATGTAACCAGACTGATCACCACCGCATGCCAGGAGGCAGGCAGGAGGTCAGTCAAGTCAGAGATCTGTTCCTATCTGAAAGCTGCTGAATACTGGTTGTATTTATTCACTTCCCCTTGCTTGATTATGTTTTTACAGCCCATTTACTTTGATAATGTGGTCATTTGAAGATTGTTATTAGCATTCTATAATTTGCATGTGTGTGTTTGTAGGAGTTCAGGACATGGTTGGAAGAAGAATGGGGCCGGACGCTGGAGGAAATCTTCCATGAACACATGCAGGAACTGATCCTGATGAAGTTCATTTATACTAGTCAATATGAGTACGAGTCTCTTCCTTACATCACACTTTCTCTCTTTGAGTTAAACAATAATGACAAGAATAGCTTGTGAATTAATATACAGTGACAAGAAAAAGTATGTGAACCTTTTAGAATTTCATGGTTTTCTGCATTAATTTGTCATAAAATGTGATCTTCATCTAAGTCAAGAGTACTGACAAATGCAGTATAATGTGCCTAAAATAATAACAAAAAAATTCTGATCTTTCATGTCTTTATTGAAGACACTCATTCAACTTTCAAAATGGTAGTGGAAAAAGTAAGTGAACCCCTGGAATTAATAACTGGTTGACCTCCCCTTGGCAGCAATAACCTCAACCAGGTGGTTCCGGTAGCTGTGGATCAGACCTGCACATCATTCAGGAGGAATTTTAGCCCATTCTTCCTGACAGAACTGCTTTAGCTCCGCCATAGTCTTTGGATGTCTCCCGTGTATGGCTCTCTTCAAGTCATTCCATAGCATCTCTATTGGGTTGATGTCTGGGCTCTGACTTGGCCACTCCAAAAGGTGGATTTTGTTTTTCTGAAGCCATTCTGTTGTGGACTTGCTCCGGTGTTTTGGGTCATTGTCCTGTTGCATCACCCACCTTCTACAGAGTTTCAGCTGATGTACAGACATTCTCACATTATCCTGAAGAATGTTTTGATACACTTGGTGTTATCCAGCTCCAATGATGCCTTCAAATCTTTGGCTGTCACTCGAGGTTGTTTCTTTACCTCATAGATGAGTCTTCATTGTGCTCTTGGGCTCATTTTGACTGGGTGCCCACTTCTTGGTAGAATAGCCACTGTCCCAAAGTGTCTCCATTTGTAGATTGTTTGTCTAACTGTAGACTGGTGAATTTTTAAAGTCTTTGAAATCACTTTAGAACACTTTCCAGCTATATGTAAATCAACAATTCTTGATCGTATATCTTCTGAAAGCTCTTTTTGGCGAGGCATGGCTCACATAAGCATAATCTTCTTGTGTGGAGCAAACTCAAAAGGTTTAAGTGGCTTTTATCAGTCAAAGTAGCTCTAGTCCACACCTCCAAACTCATTTTCTTAACAAGACTCCAGGTATGCTAACACCTGACTCCAATTAGCTTTTTTGAGGTCATTAACTCAAGGGTTCACATACTTTTTCCACTAGCACCATGAGGTTTTTATGGTTGTTCTCAATAAAGACATGAAAGATCAGAATTTTTTTGTGTTGTTATATTAGGCACATTACATTTGTCAGTACTCTTGACTTAGATGAAGATCAGATCACATTTTATGACAAATTAATGCAGAAAACCATGAAATTCCAAAAGGTTCACATACTTTTTGTTGCCACTGTATAGCCCATCCATGTAGCTCTGACGGTCTTGGTGGAGGCTCAGGTAAAGCTGTAGTTTCAGTATGTTTTCTTTTGACAGTAACTGCTTGACATACCGGAGGATCTACCTGCCTCCTGCTATGCCCTCGGACCTGTTGCAGCCAGGCCTCTTCAAAGGCACTTATGGCAGTCATGGTTTGGAGATTGTCATGCTCAGTTTCCACGGGACTTCTGCAAGAGCCACCAAGCTCACAGTAAGTTAATGAATATTCATTATCAGAAGCTTTGCCCCTTGTGGCAGCATTTTCTAACTATGCATATCGGCTCTGCAGTATAACATAGGTGGATTACAAAGACTGCTTTGCTATGAATCATTCAATAACCTGTAAATGTCATTCAAGTCATCCTCATCTTTCCCAACTATTCAGTCAAAACTACTGACTCATCCCTCAAGCGTTTAACAGGTGCTCTGATTTACCAAGTGCCTTTGAATGGAACATTCTCACATTTATACCTAACGGATGCAACAGTAACCCACCATATTCATCTGCTAGTTGTGCAGACTGTAATTTGGCTCTTTCCTCCAGGGAGACCCTAACGTTCCTGCAGGGCAGCTCACTTTGGATATTGACCTGAGCCAGCCTGTAGTCCTCCCAGACTTGGAGCATCAGCACAACATAGAGGAGCTGTCACGGTTGGTTCTGGGGGTACATGAGGAAGTGCAGAGAGAAGTGGAACAACAGGCCAAGGGCCCTTCTGCTCCAGTCATCGGTGCAGCAGAGGGGGCCTGTGGTGGTGCCAGCGGAGCAGAAGGGATCGCAGAAGACCAGCCTGGTCCCGGCAGCAGCACCACTCCTCCTGAAGCCCAACCCTTTGTCCTGCCCCTGGGGGTTATGGCTCGCAATGAGGTGTACCCTCGCACCTGCAGGAAATGGTAAGACCTAAGAACACGGTGCACAGGTGGATTGATTGTAGGTGTCTTTGCCCCAGAAACAGTGGTGTCAGACACAGTCCAGAGTTGTTACACATTCCTTCATTGTCTAAAGTAATGTCCTGAACCTTAGATTCATAGCATTAGAGCCAAGAATATTAAATTTATCAGCCTTTGGCTTCCACAGTTAATTAAACCGGGTATGGTGCAAAATGGATTCATCCACATTAATCCATGAGGAGGTTGCTATAAAGCTTTATAGAAAATATTTGCTAAATACTACAAATTATTTAAGTAAAATGTTGTGATTGCTGTTTGTTAGAACATGGTCCACAGCCCATTGATATGAATATCAATAAATTGATGTTCATCTATTTCAGCTTCTATGGGACAGGCCTGATAGCTGGACATGGCTTTACCAGCCCAGAGCGCACCCCAGGGCTCTTTGTGCTGTTTGACGAGGACCATTTTGGTTTCATCTGGCTGGAGTTGAAGTCTTTCAGTCTGTACAGTCGGCTGACGGACCATCTAGCCCACGCTCACGCCCCAAACATGGAGCGATTTGAGGCCATGCTGCACAACATGCAGTCCTGGACATCCTGATGCACCAAGCTTTAAGTCCTCACCCACTCTACAATGCATAACACCAACCACTGCACACAAATCACCTCTGCTGATAATGTGATTATCATGTTACTTCATGACCTTAAGTCTCCAGGTTCTATCTATACTTGTTTTGGTTTTACTGTCTAATTAAGCTACTGCTATCACCCTGACCAAGCAGATTCATGCTTTTGTATCATCACCTTAATCCTCCAGTGCAGCATGATAACAGGTCACAGTTTTTATTTATTTATTTATTTGTTCCCTGAAGGAGATACGGAATGATATACGTGCCTCTGATTCTAAAACCACGTCTGTACTTGGTTGTGCTTGAAGAAGATAAAGGTGTCCAGTGTATTCTACTATATAGTATTATACTGATTTCAATGCCCATCATATTGAATTGCATGCTGCATTTCATTTAGAACTACTCATGTTAGTCATAACCACTGCCTGAACATATTGTACTCTCATGAAGCAGCATGCCTTGCTTTTTATGTTTTGTTTTGTTTTGTTTTTTGTTTTTTGCTTTAGAGACATCAGAAATTTAAAAAGACAGCATCTCAGGTGTTTTCCTCTTTGCCACAAGTCTGTGAAAACCAGGACAAAAGTATTTATGTGTATAACACATGTGTGAAGTTAGAGACATTTTATTAATTTGTCCAATAAAAATACCAAGTGAGTTTTACAAGCGAGTTATTTTTTAACCATTGACAAATAAGGACTTGCTGTCTTTTCAAACATTGTAGCCAGTTATGGGCAAACCTTTGCCCTTTGAGCTCATGGTCCTACATTAAACATCCTTTTTATGTCATCACACCTACATTAACTACATTAATGTATGATGGATAGATGTATGGTATTTGCAATAGAATAACAAACTATACATAAGCTGGATTTAATCAAAGTATCACAATTATACAGTTTATGTGCTTATAAAATTATAGTCTGAAATGAAAACTTGTCTTACCTTCGAAATGTGTTGCATTTCTTGTTTGTTTAAATGGCCGACACAACATTTGCCTGGCTTCATACCGACAAAGCTGTTGCCTCCAGTTTTCCCATTTAATTCAAACCCGAGACCAGGCTAGTTGAACATCGTACAAGCTAACAGCTCAAAGTACCAAGTAAGTGTCTGTATGTCTAATTCCGGCCTGATGGTGATGCCCAGTAGCTTTCTTACTCCAAGTGCACTTTTCTGGGTAGTATAGTGAATCAGTCAAAACCACTGGCCAGCACTTTATCAGACTGCAGCTTTACTAACATTAGCAAAAGAAATGTCTGCTAAAGCATCATTTGGGTTGTCACATCTTATTAATTTCCTCTTACTGCTAGAATATTGGGTTTATACATTCTCCTATGTGTATGCCCTCATTACCCAGCAATTTGAATGATTTGCCTTTGAAAAGTCTTGCTTTATACTATTTTCAATGCCATATGCCTGATTTTGTGAAAAACTAAGTGTGACCTATTGAACTGCTCACATCGGACTTCAGGGAGCTTTTCAGTTTAAGCGCTCTTCTCAGTAATAAAAAATAAACTGAAAAGAACGTCTTGTCACTTTTTATTTTTTCTGTAGTTTGCATGTGTTTCACAATAATGATGTACTTTCACTGCTGTTTTGCTCATTGTCATATGTGAATTTTGATTATTATGTAATAAAATTGATGGTAGATAATCCACAACTCAATATTAACCAAGCCATTTTATATGTGACACGTAATACAGCAGACGAACGAACTGCTGCTGACAGCAGAAACAGTTTAAGTAAAAACATTTTTCTCTGATTTGTTTATGGTTAATGATGACATCAGTAAGAAACACGGAAAGAATGGAGGAAGGAGAGGCGACTGTTCTACAGCTCACTGTGCTCCATCTTCTCTGTAAGTTGCTGGACTTTCTCTGGGAGGGTCTGAGTCAGGAAGACAAACCGGTCCTTCTTCAGATGCTGAGCAGTTACCTGCTTCTTTAAACCAATTGCCAGGTATTCCTCTTCTGCTCCATACTTTGGCCAGTGGACAAGGCCGTCGCCGTTAGGAGACCTACACAAACACATGTTTGTCTCATCTCCATGTACTGTACATGACCTTTTGTACAAAGAGGGGTCATTCCTACCCTGTGCGAGCAAAGTTTCCCCAGTAGCTCATCATCATTTTGCTCAGCTGTTCCTCATCTTCAGGGCATGAATCTGGAATGATGAAAATCTCATAAAACTCTTTGCACTCCAGGACACCCAAAGACAAGGCAGACATCTGGTGGTCTATCGAAACACTGATTTTATCTTGCACTCACCAGCTAATTTGACATGGGTAGTTGTGAAGCAAAATCCTAAAACTGTAAAGATTTCATCTCCATGGTCAGTCCCAACAAAGCTTGGCCTTTTTACCTGAAGGAATTTGGGAGGATGCTGGTACTCATACAGGTATACAGGTGCCCCGGCATCTAGTGGCAGACAAATGGGTGTGATATGTCTTGTTTATGTGTCAGAAAATATTAATCATACACAAAAGCATTTACCTCTGTGGGAATTAGCAGTCTTAATGGCTGGAATGTTAAATAACACATCTCCAAGCAGCTCAGTGATTCCTTCTCTGTTTTTTACACGATCATCACCGATTCCAAGATATTCCTCAATCAACAATTCTCTGAAGATTGTGTATTTGGGCTTGAGAAAATGAGTGACACATCTGTCAGACAAGCTTGAGCGTGAGAAAGAACAGCAATACTGTAATGACAGGGAGTGTTGGTCTTACATCAGACATCCAGGCTGACAGCATGTGTAAAACCTCCTCCCGATTCAATCCTTCTGTCCAGTTTTGAGGAGCAAAAAACTAAGGAAGACACAGCTGCAATTAACTTTTTAGACATAACTTTCATAGACTCATGTAAAAAAATCAGTAACCTATTCAGTTGCACAAATTTCAGTGCAGCATTCACACTTACCGCAGTAAGTATCCAGCCCCCTTCATCATTATTAACACCAGTCATAAATGGCAAAGTGAGAAGTTCATGTTTATGAAACAGCTCGTCCACAGGTTTTGTCAGGAAGTGTCCATCAATGACTAATGGAAACATTGATTTGTCATCCTTGAGGGAATAAAATGTATAAAACAAAAGGTTGAAAAAAAAGCAAATATGTCACAGAAATCTTGCAGAAGACATTAGAGGCTCAACTAATCCCACCAAGTCAGCCGGTATCAGCTTTACACGCAGGGTCTCACCTTTCCAATAGTCACAATACTTCCACTATCCAGGTTTCTCATGCAATTAGTGAACATCTCTGTGCTTTCAAGGCCACAGCCAGATGCATTTGCTACCACCTGAAGACAGATATGAGGGATCCATGTCAACAATTTAGAAAAATAAAGATTTTGTGTTGTGATATTCTCAGCACTGTGAACTGAAAAACATTTAAACACAAAATAAGTACAATAATAATTAACCTGCATCAGTGGTAGAAGCTCCTTTGAAAATAGTATATCCATTGCAGCAGTGCCACTCTCAGCAATGGCATGATGAAAGAGTCCATCAGACAACGGTGACAGAAGCTGTTGATTCAAGCAACAGAAAATAGTCAAGGTTCTGTGGACAGTAGTGACTTTGCAGTGATATAACAGTGTAATAGTTGCTGATCCTTACCAGGAGAGACACACTCACTCCACCAGCAGACTCCCCAAATATGGTAACTAAATCTGGGTCTCCCCCAAAGTTATGAATGTGCTGCTGGATCCACCTCAGAGCTTCTACCTGGTCCAGCATTCCAAAGTTGCCTGACATGTGCTCATCTCCAGTACTGGATAGAACATACAGTCATATTCTACCAGGCTCCATTTACACCAGCTGGTAAAGGTGACCCAACTGAGTTTTTCACATGTACTGATCAGAAAGATTTAAAGTAGAACATGGTCATAGTATAGTCATTCAAACTGTGTTTAGCAAGTCATTTTACCTGAGAAAGCCCAGCAGCCCCAGCCGGTACTGTATTAAAACAACAACCACCTCCTGGTAAGCAGCCAGGGCGGAGCCATCATACATTGAAGCTGATCCCATAGTAAACCCTCCACCGTGGATCCACACCATGACCTGGTAAGGTCAAGACAGACCAATTTTCCACAAAGCATAAAGGACATTTTTACTTTAGTATAACTGAGCTCACCTCACTACTTTAACCTGACTAAATCCTGAAACTGAACTGGGTATTTCTGAATAAATAAACATCTTTTATATTTCCATTATAGATTCTTTAAAAGCAATCAAACCATCTTGTCCAGGAACAAAGTCCAAGCCTTTCCTGTGCTGAACCTTAGTAACTGAGCAGCATCACCTCAAACCTGCAGCAAAGGGGTCTTACTGGGAGCTTGGCATCATGAGCTCTGCTTGTAGGAGTGTAAATGTTGAGATAAAGACAGTCTTCTGAAATGTCTGGAATATGTGCCAACGTCATACCGAGGGTATCAATCAGATCCAAAAATTGCTCTCTATCTTGCACGCACCTGAAAACGAGAACATATTATTAACAAGTACTGGACATGATTCCTTTAATGTGGTAAGGTGCGTAACAACTGGAGCCCAAGGATGTCTTACATGGGTGGCTGCTGAGTGGCGTCTTTCACTCCTTCCCATCCCTCTACAGGTTGAGGTGCAGCAAATCTCAGAGCAGGCCCTACAGGAGGCTTGGCAAATGGGACACCCAGGTAGGCATGGACCCCAGCCTCCTTCCCCTTTACACTCACATACGTCCCTCTCAGACTGCCAAGCTTTGTGTGGACTTCAGTTGCTGTCAAGACATGAGAACATAGAATCACGATTTAAGTTCCCAAGTCATGCATTCACGTTCCCAGGGAAAACTAATGTGTATAGCTAAGCATCTAAGTATAAAATACAAAATATGTGATTCCTCCAAATATGCAGCATCTGGTTATGTTACTACAAAATAATTAGGATCAGAACATATCAGAACATCATTAACATATTAAAACTATAAATACATATATATATATATATGGGGATCGAACAGCCAACCATTCACTCAGGAAATGATCCACTTTATCGACTGACCCACAGCTGCACTACAAGTAGCCTGGTTTGTGTGTGTGCCCTTTTGGTGGACCAATCTAAACACTCATTTACCTATTCAAACTGCCTTTGCTGATCCTGTTGCACAACTACAGCCCGATTCAACTTTGTTCCACTCAGGGCAGTTGTGCAATGCAAACAATGTCTGTAATATATTGTGAGTCTATTAACACTGTATTTCCGACTAAAATGGCACTGGGTATCTGAAATAAACTGCTTGCCCCAGTGACTCTACCGCAAAGCTGTGTTTTAACATCTAATCTCTCCAAGTCTGCCGAGTAAAATATTACTACTTTAAGAGAACGAAGCAACGCTCCGTTCTGATAACTGTATAACACACTGAAGAAGGTATTTCCTCAACCAAAACTCTGAGTCTGATTTTGGATATAACCTAATGTAACTGTGACCTTTGCACACAATGGATCGTCAGTAAAGGAACGAAGCAACTTCGATTAAGACGGAGTAAACAACGGATTCAGAGGTACAGTCGATGTATTGTGAAAAGAAATGAGCTTTCCTCTGCTTACCATGTAGGTCTGCAGCTACACAGAGAAATAAAACAGACGCCAGCTGCGGGAATAAGGCTGGCTTTGCACAGAACTTCATGTTGTTTGTTTCTGTGGTTGGCGACACTCCGGGTTGTGCAAAGCCAATATTTCACCTCCTCTGAAGCTTTCCCTTTATAACTTAGACGTAGCACTGCACTCCATATTAGTCTACCTGCAAGATAGGCAGCGCCCCGCCCCCCCTTACGAAACAAAAATATATTTCCACATATATTGTGTCAATATATTATTTAGTGTTTCTAAAATATATTGCAAAATATGCTGAATAATATAATGCATTAATATATTACAATATATTGAATAAGTGTATGTAGCTTTTCAAATATTGAAAAATATGTGAAAATGTATTTATACATCTTGATGTATGTAATTTTATATTCAACAATACACTTCACAATATATGGAAATTTCTGAGTAACAAATTATGGTGTACTGGGAATATATATATTTACATTTATATTAGAACATGTAGGCAATATATGTACACAACTGAAGAAATATATATTGCATGTAAAAATATACTATATTATGTAAAAAGGTACACACTCATGGGTAAGCAATCAAGAAAACTTTATTGATACAAACCTATTTTCCATCTAAGTGACTAAAATACAGCACTTCAAAACCATCTTGTCAAACTAATTACTTATTTGGCCTTCAGCCACTTGTTCAACTACTGGAGAGATTTTGAACTTTCTAAATTTTAAACAGGCTAATCACTCATTTAAACAAGATCCAGAACAAGGGAAGAAAACATGATAGGGGTCCAAATATCCAGTCTGTTATCTTATTTAACAGTCCATCTTCTTTTTGGCTTTACTTGGTGCCTTAACTCACAGATTCTTGTGTTG